TATTGCATTGTTAATAGAAACTTTTATTAGCATATTATTTTATTTAATTTTTGTATGCTACTTTATTTTTATAATATAATAAAAGATACATATTTTTTTTATTCTACTATTCTCAATAATATTTTCTGAATAAATAAAGTTTTTATTTTTTTAAAAAAAAATTAAAAAAGCAAAGAAATTTTAAATTGGTAGTTTTTTATTTTTACTAATTTTAGTTTTTTATTTTTAAAAAATTAAAAAAATTTCAACTTGAAACTACTTTTCAATTTGAATGGACAGTAACCAATTTTATTTTATTATTTTATAGATATTTAAATTTAAAAACAATAACTAATAATTAATTATTAACTAAATAACTAATTATTAACTACTTATGTCATGTGACTTTTTTCTAGGTTGTCACTTGTCTTAAGGAGAGGGCTTTTTCCTCTCCTTTTAATAATATATAGAAGATTTTCTCATTGACTAGTGACTCGCATCCAACCCATCTATAAATACTATAAATAAGAAAGATTACGTAGTCGTTTGGACATAATAATGTAAGATTTGAAAAAGGTAATTTTTTGAAGTTAAATTAAAAGAAGTATTTAAATATTAAAATTATGTTTGAATATGCATTTTATTTGAAAAAATACTATAGGTTTGTGAGAGTAAACTATTAGTAAAAAATAGGTAAAGACTACTTTTTCAAATTTTAAACTCATCTTCAAAAATTTTTAAAGCTCATCTTCAAAAAGATTAGTTAATTGTATAACCAAACATTGATTTTAAATTTTTTTGATTTTTTTAATGTCCAAGGCTCTTAAGTAGTCTCAAAATCAGGGATTTCTTTATAAAATATAGGAGATTTCCATACCAACTACGGTTAATAATGTACATTTTTACTTACTTGCTACACCCCTATACCAAATTAATTAATGTAATCTTAGCAATCAAAAATTACAACAAGAATCTATAATATTTAATATAGTTTAATAATAAGTATATATGTTATACTTATACAAGTATCGGGTGTGAATAAATTCTTGCCATAATAATTTATAAAAGCCATAATGAGGTACAATACGGTAGAAAAGAAAAGTACTTATTTAGAGTAATTTTTAGAAGAATTAACCCAAATAGTCGTCTACTCAATAACTTAAAATAAAAATAGTAGATGAAATTATAATATATGTATATTTTATTTATTATATGTGTATAAATAAATGTATAATATATGTAGATGGTTAGAAAAACTAAACATGCGAGCTAATTTTTAACCAAAAAATTGGAGTTGACGATTCAGATAATTAACAAGACTTGACCACAGGAGAGTGGAGCCAATTAGGGCGTAGTTAATTTGGGGAGTAAATTCTCACGTGGATGACGCGTGGCTTTCGACATAAAGGTACAAGTACTCTAATTCAGCTCCTCCTTCAGTCCCCGTCCATCCATTATAACGGAGCTACCCATCCCTCTTAACATCCATCCACCCATACATTACATATACATACAGTTTTTTTCTTCCCTCAGGAAATCTTAATCTTCTAAATCTCTACTTTTTTCACACCGTTGTTCTTGATTCTTGAATTTTACTATGTTTTCCCTCTAAGATTCTGTTCCAATAACCATGGGTGCTTGTACCTCAAAGCCTCCGAATAAACCCAATCCTTATTCCCCAAAAGACTCCCTCGAAATCCTTCCACCACCGGAAACTCCAAACCCACAGAAGGACAACAATGAAGTAAAAAAGTCACCTTTTTTCCCTTTTTACTCACCTAGTCCCGCTCGTTATTTTCTATCCAAGAAATCTCCTGCCCGTCAGTCTTCTGGTTCTAAAAGTGGTAATTCTACTCCGGCGAGGTTATTTAAGCGGCCTTTTCCTCCTCCTTCTCCGGCAAAACACATAAAGGCTTTGCTTTTGAGGCGGCACGGTAGTGTAAAGCCTAATGCTGCTGCTATTCCTGAAGGAGAGGAAACTGAGGGTGCTAACTTGGATAAGAATTTTGGTTTTTCTAAGCAGTTTAAGAATAAGTATGAGGTTGGGGATGAAGTGGGTAGAGGCCATTTTGGGTATACTTGTTCTGCTATTGCTAAGAAAGGTGAACTTAAGGGTCAACAAGTTGCTGTAAAGGTCATTCCAAAAGCCAAGGTCACTCCTTTCTCTCTTTCTTGTTCCTTATGATTATACTGCATTGAAGTATATATGTGCTTTGAATAACTTACATCTCTGATCCTTGAAGTCTATGTTGAGAAAAGTTGGTTCTTTTAGGAATTTATTTCCGTTGATTAAAATTGTGTTGGGTTTAAGTTTTGTTCTATCTCTTTCTCTGCCTCACTTCCTTGTGGGGTGGGATGAGTAGATCATCCTCTTGCTCCCTTAATTCTCCCACCGCCCACATGTATTTTAATTCTTTATTTTATTCTCCCCTTTTATCTTGTGAATTTGGGGGTTTTTCACTTAAAACTGGTGTGATTCAAAATCAAAGTTCAAGATTCTTCTGCTACCTTTTTAAAAAAAATTCAAAATCCCTTTCTTTTTTTGTGTGGGCATAAGCACTCCCTTTCTAGGAAATTGCTAGTAAGTGCTGTGTTAGTCTTGGCTTTTAGTAGTAGCTTTTGTTAAAAATTCCAATTGAAGTTTATTGGGGTCCATGAAATGTTTGAAAAGAGTATAGTGGCTTACACTATTAAATATTGAGGAGTTGGTGAGCATTATAGAATTGTGCAATCTCTTGTCCATTTCCTTTGATGTAAACATAAATCAATTAGCAAACTTGCTTAGTATAGAGTCCCCGGTCTGACTCCTAAAGATTTTTACTTTTTTGGTTCACAAAATCACCTATGCAAGTTAAACTATTCATATCTTTCTCAGAACTTCAAGGGCTGACTTTCCTATGTGACTGATGCTAGTCACTGCTTTAAAAACTGATGAACATTGTAATTATCAACCCAAAAAAAAAAAGGAACACTGCATATGATTATCTTCTCGCTCCAAGAACTCCTCTTTAAAAGGTGCCAGTATCATCACTAGGAAAAAGATATCACTACGATTATGCTAGAACATGACGTACCAAATCAAATGTAATCAGAAATCATGAATCCCGCATGGTTTAGACAGGCCTACACCAAGTGACAAAATTTCAAGCAAGTTGAGCATTTACATAATGACTAACAAACTTTAATCTGATACTTTTGGCCTTATCATTGAGGAGGCTGCAACTGGTATCTTTATATCCCGTTGGTGTTAGAAACTTAACATCGGTTCCTGCAGCCAATATTCTTGTCGCTTTGAGGTGATGACATGACTCACTCTACAACAACAACAACAACATACCCAGTATGACTCACTCTGTAATATGAAATCTTATTCAGTCACAGGGTGTTTCATATAAGGAAATAATATACAAAATGATCTTATATAATCTTTGAAGGGAAAAATATCATGTCTTAGACCGAATGAGAGATTCAATCACACTGTTATGCTTCATTCTGCTTATCTATAATTATCGAAAAGGTAGATATTTATGTTGGAGGAGCTTCTGCTTTGCTAGTAGACAGAAAGACTGTATAAATTCATGAGAATAACTATTGAGGTGCTTAAAAAGATTCTATAGCTGACTACTTTGAGGGACAAAAGAAAAGGTTTTGGTAGTAGATAGGTTTAGTGAAATTTTTCTACCTGATCTCATGAGACCATATCATGTTTTGTAGCTTACAGATGGAGTTACATTGTTGCTAACATTTATTTATGACCCGTTATATTTGTAACACTATAATGAATTCACTTTTGGGGTTTTAAGTTTTGACAGATGCAATTCTTCACTGTATCTTACCCTCTTAACAGCTGACTATCAATTTACTCCAATTTTGTTGCCTTTCAGATGACAACAGCTATTTCCATCGAGGATGTTAGAAGGGAAGTTAAAATTTTGCGCGCCTTAACAGGACATAACAATCTGATACAATTCTATGATGCATTTGAAGATCAGGATAATGTCTATGTAGTGATGGAGTAAGATTCTTAACCACACATTAGTGAGATCTAAATCTATTTTGCTGTAAGGTTTTTCCTGTCTGTCTTAGTGATGCTTCTGGTCAGGGGATAATTCATGTAAGCTCAACATGGAGGAAAGTTTTGGTATTAAGCCACAACTTAGCTACTCAAAGAAAGTGCATGACCCTAAACCTTTATAGCATCAGGCTTTAGAAGAATTTGTTTTGAATCCCTAGCATGGTCTTTTAAGGATATGAAAGTAAGTGAACTCTTGAAAAATTTCTGTTTAGGTTATGCCAAGGAGGAGAGCTCCTTGATAGAATACTTGCACGGTATGTCTTTGGTTAATTTACGGAATTTGACTTCTAATTTATGGATTTGTCTTTTCTAAGTTAACTTTTTGGGTATACTATTTTATTTCCTTCTCATTTCTTTTGGTAGCGGCGGGAAGTACTCAGAAGAGGATGCAAAGGCCGTTATGGTACAGATATTGAATGTTGTTGCATTCTGTCATCTCCAGGGTGTTGTGCACCGTGATCTTAAACCTGAGGTAAACAGATTCCTCAAACTGGCCTTGCAAATTAGAACACTAGTTATACTTTTTTTATTTTCACTAGTTACAAAAGTATCTCATTTTTTCCATGTCCTCCTTCAGAATTTTTTGTTTTCGTCGAAGGATGAATCTTCGCAGTTAAAAGCTATAGATTTTGGCTTATCAGATTTTGTGAGACCAGGTTGGTTTTCATCATGCATATTTGTATGATTTCTTTGTCTTCTCTATACCAATCAAAGAGATATTTGCCTTCTCCATTAAATGCTTTAAATACGATGAATGCAGATGAAAAGCTTAATGACATTGTTGGAAGTGCATATTACGTAGCACCAGAAGTTCTTCACAGATCATATGGTACAGAGGCTGATGTGTGGAGTATAGGTGTGATAGCATATATTCTTCTGTGTGGTAGTCGTCCATTTTGGGCTCGCACAGAGTCTGGAATCTTCAGGGCTGTTTTAAAGGCTGATCCAACTTATGATGAAGCACCTTGGCCTACACTAACTTCGGAGGCTAAAGATTTTGTCAAGCGACTATTGAATAAAGATCCTAGGAAAAGAATGAGTGCTGCTCAAGCATTATGTAAGTGTTTTCTCCTGTGATTTTTTTTTGGCATTCTCTTTCTTTAAATAGCCTCTTCTAATCACCCCCTTGTGCAGGTCATCCTTGGATGCGGAATCACAGTGGTGCAAAACTACCACTTGATGTTCTTATATTTCGACTCATGAAAGCATATATGCGATCATCCTCTTTGCGTAAGGCTGCTTTAAGGGTGTGTATATTATTTAGCTGGAACAATTAATAGAACCTGATATATCTGTCTCTGCCCTTGATAGCTTATCTATTTATTTCTTCCTATCTTTTGGTTTTAGGTTTTGAAATAGTTTATAAGGGTTTTATTCTCAAAAACAAATAATTTATAAGGTTTTTAAGCCACCTTTCCTTTTTGTCTTTAAATAAATTCTGCGATTACTTTCTTTGGTAAGTTTTTTCGATAAGGTAATCATTTATAGAGGAGCATTGACACTTTCTTTGATAAGTGATAAGGTATTCAACTATAGTGGATAATAAGCAGTAAGCTAGTGCGTCAAAACATAGTTACAAGTTGTGCAGCTCCCCTATCATATCTAACTAGGAATTAATATCCTGTACAAAGACCTGTTTGCACCAAAAAGCTAGCAGAGAAAAAGCTCTAAACTAAAGGATAAGTAGTTCTCTTGTTGCCTTAAAAAAATCTGTTTTTCCTTTCTGCCCAGAGAGTACACCAAATAACTTGGGGTATAGTATTCCAAATTTTGAGGGATTTTTTGTGGACACCATCTCTGTTCCAGCAAGTAAGGAACTCTTGAGAGGAGAGTGGGATAGTCCAACTCATGCCAAGAATAGCAAAAATAAACTCCACAATTGAGAAGTGACGTTGCAGTGAAGAAAATGGTGATTTTCTTCTTCAAGATGGTCTTCACAGAGGACATCTACTAGAGTTTGAAAGCCTCTTTGCTGAAGGTTGTTTTGAGTGCAGCAGGCCTCCCTAGCCACTAACCAAGAGAAGCAGGAGACTTTCAGGGGAGTGTTGTTAAAACCAGATTTGATTTCAAGGTCAAGAAGCAGTGTTGTCATTAAAAGACAGGATTTTGTAGCAAGATTTCACTGAAAAAAGACACTTTGGGTGTCCTCTAAGGGTTCGGTGAACCTTCTACCCCAATCCGTGCAGTTATGCGGTGTAGAATACAGGATAAATCTCACCAATTACTTATAAAAAAGAAAGATATGTCTCACCCATTATCAGGGATATGTGAGAAAAAAAGCTTATATTGCCATAGGTATTAGTCATCGGGAATGGACAAGTTGCTTTGATTTTGGGGCAGTGCCTGTTCTCCTGAAAAGCAATTCCATTTTTTCTTAAAACCTTTTTTAGTTCCAGGGATGTTTTACTATAAGATCTTTACTGTTAGGTACTTCCTTGATTCTGAATTACATAGATTGTAACTGGATAGTCATGGGATCTGTGAAGCTCCTTCCCGTTATCACAAATAAGATACTTACCTAAGGAGAGAGGTCCAGGAATAAACGAATAACCGAAGAGGAAATAACATGATAGTTCTTCTGCATTCACGAAGCTATATAGTTTTCGGTAGTTCTTAGGTCTCGGACGCAGCTGTATAGTTTTCGGTAGTTCTTAGGTCTCGGACGCAGCTGTTGTCCTAATTCATCTTGAAAGTGATGACAATAAAGTCTTACTAGGATAAAAGAAACTAGTCTGGTGAATATATCTGCTAAGCTGAGGGTCTATTCGAAACAGCCTCTCTACCTTCCCAGGGGTAAGGTCTGCGTACACACTTGACACTACCCTCCCCAGACCCCACTTGTGGGATTCAACTGGGTTATTTTTGGTGAATATATCTGCTAAATCCCTTTTAGCCTGTGAAATTATCTTGATAGATTATTATTCTACGATGGGAAAAGAGATTGAGGCTAAAGTAACTTGTTTTACTTTAAGATTTTTGCTGTTAGCTACTTCCTTGAGTCTGAATTACATAGATTGTGACAGGATAGTCATGGGATCTATGAAGCACCTGCCCATTATCACCAATAAGATACTTATCCAAGGAGAGAGGTCGAGGAATAAACGAATAACCGAAGAGGATATAACATGATAATTCTTCTGCATTCATGAAGCTGTACAATTTGTCGGTAGTTCTTGGGTCTCGGACGCAGCCGTTGCGCTAATTCATCTTGAACGTGACGACACTAAAATCTTTCTAGGATAAAATAAACTAGTTTGGTGAATATATCTGCTAAATCCCTTTTAACCTTTGAAATTATCTTGATAGATTATTATTCCACGATGGGAAAAGAGATAAGAGGCTAAAGTAACTTGTTCCTACTGATTTTGTTTCTTCACTCTTGAGCTGTTAGTCTCGATAAGTTCACTTGGACAACTTTCAGGATGCGTATCACTCTTACATGGTTTAGTTTAGATGTTCCGACAAGAAAATCAAATGATATGTCATGGGCGGCTTTCCAACCATGCCCCATGACCCCTTGGACGCACCCCGTGGCGTCCTGGCCAGCTTCCCAACGCCCGTCGCCACGGTCGGTCCCGTGGTTTCGGCAGCTCTAAGTGACAAGCGCGCATGNCCATGCAACAAACTATAGACAACTTGACAGGCCAACTCAACGTTGTCAATGCTGCTTTACAAGGCCTGCTTCGAGGAGGTGGAAACCAAATTGGGGGTATTGTGAACCTCGCCCCTGTGGCCCAAAAACTGAAAATTCCTGAGCCAAAGCCATACAGTGGAGCTCGGAATGCCAAAGAAGTGGAAAACTTCATCTTCGACATCGAACAATACTTCGATGCCGTAGGGGGCCTAGAAGAAGCTAAGAAGGTAGCAACTGCTGCCATGTATCTGATGCCAAACTTTGGTGGCGGGTGATATACGAAGCCATCAAGGCTGGTGAAGATGCCCTCGAGACATGGGCAGAACTGAAGGCAGCCATACGTCTACAGTTCTTCCCCGAAAATGTTGAGTACAAGGCTAGGAGAAAGCTACGGGAGCTCCGCCAAACCAAATCAGTGCGGGATTACGTGCGGGGAATTCTCTGCGCTCATGCTGAACATCCGCGACATGGGGGACAAAGACAAGCTCTTCACCTTCCTGGAAGGGTTGAAACCTTATGCCTGTATGGAGTTGCAAAGACAAAGGATAGACACGTTACCTAAGGCAATCCAAGCAGCAGAGTGCCTTGGGGATTATCAAGTGGAAGCCCGGAAGGACAGGCCTCAACAGCCTGTCCGACGAGGATACAAAGGAGGCCAGCCGAACACTGGTGGTCCTAGCAGAAGTGGAGGAGACCGGAGTGCAACCAAATCTAAGGCTCCCTCCTTAGGCAGTACTAGCGCTGCATCTAACAACAATGATCGGGGGAGGAAACCCCCCTCAGGATGCTATTGCGGCGGACCACATTGGAATAATGAATGCCCACATGCACAGATGAACGCCCATCAAGCTTTTGAGGATGGGACGGATGACGATGCCGATGATGCGGACCAGACCAAACCAGTTGGTGCATTCAATGCCATTGTTGGCTCTATTTCTGAGCCTCTAGCGGGAACTAGTGCTGGTATCCGTAAGAAGGAGGACCCCTGTCCAATCACCAAGAAAGGGAAAAAGAAGGCGAACGAGAGGACTCCTCCTCATCAAGAGAGGACCTTAATGTTCGTTGACATGAAGGTAAAT